TCCACCATGTACTAGTGATATCATCATGAATTCATACTATTAGTTATAAATTGAAAAAGAGTTCAAGGTTTGTAGGATCAAATTTTATTTTTTAAGTTTTAAACCTAAATTAGACGAAAACATTGGCAGAAACCCATTCATATTGTATGTGCTCTCATATTTATAAATCTCTCTCTTTCTATGTGTGTATATATTAAATATATATATATTTTGCTTGCAGGAATATTTGGGAAGCCCCCCCCCTCTCCCCCATTCAGATAGGGTTATATGGCTTTACACCCCCTCCCACCGTTTCAACTGATGAAACCATAACAGTATTTTATTTGTTGTTTTGCTTGTCAATTAAATTTTGTAGGACTCCCCAACCTTATATATAATTCAAATAAAAGGAAATGCATTTGAAGAATATCATACACATATAAGTTTGGAAATATACAGTTTTAAAGGGCACAATTTAACATTTTGATTAAATGAATAAGAAAAATAGTAATTATGGTTTTGCCATAACATCTGAGTTTTTTCAGGGCTTAATTAAATATTCACTAGTTTAAGAAGGACCCATTGGCCATTCCGAAAACAGTGTTTGAAATAACAGTGCGCCTGACCGCCCGAGACGCACAAATTTTGCTGTGGGCTTACCAATTTGCACATATTGATGCCCAGCTGGACTTGTTTCAAGTTTTCATTAATTAAAATTTAATAATTTGATTTTTAAAATCGCTTCCGAATCAACTAATGGTATCATGAGCAGTACAGGATTTGTGATTAAAAGGGAGGGGGAGGGGGGGCGTGGATAACTTTGTTCAGACAAGGGATCTTGATAGTGATGTTCCAAAGTACAGTCATGAATATGTTTAGACATACCATAGTTTGAATGATGGTTGTCCAGGGGGCAAAGCCCCAGAAGCTCCTGAGATTTCGTGTGTTTAAGAGTAAAATTAGGCAAAAAAATAGTGGTCTTGTACGAAAGTATGGCATTATTAATATATTTTCCTACAGCAAAACATGGTCACTATTATATTCATATGGGAGGCCGGGGGGGGGGGGGGTTTCATTTGCTCATTGCTCACAGTACCTCTAGTTTCAAAAATCAATTTTACAAAAGACAATTATTTTCTCAGCAGCTAGGCTGGTAGATTTTTACCAGGACTGATAACTTTTACTAGCAGTCAGCCTTATGTTTGCTATCAATTTTTCTGACTTTCCCCCTTTTCAATTTGAAAAAAAAATAGTCAATATTGCCTTTGTTTAGACATTTGTCTGTGATATGTATTAAATACCTGATCTAAATATGACATCCATAGAGGCACTGATACATACTAAGAAAAAATTATGCTCCATCCAATCTCTGCTGTGGCTTTCACTGCTTCTTGCCATGGCTTCATGTATGCTGAGGTCGAGGATTTCTTCCAGTCGACTGTGTATATTGCAGTACTAAGGGAGTATCGACGGAAAGGAGAGATATACTCATCATACTCTAATCCCCAGCAGCGAGCTACTGTTCAAATTCCAGTACAAAATTAAATGTTTTCCCCAAAATTAACTGAATTTAAGTAGTTTTGATGATATTGTTGAACAAGTTAGCCCTTTTCAAAACACTCAAACTCTTAGCATGTTTAGGAAATGAAATTTTGTTTTTGTCAGATAAAATTAAGCAAATTGCAGGCAGTTATTTTTTTATCCTAGGAATATATTTTTCTAATAAAAAATTTAGACTTACATGCCCCTTGGATGTATGAAAACTGGCAAAACTTCCAAAATGAAGATGAAATCACACACATTTCTTAATCCTCCCCTTCTAAATTGAAGAGTTAAATACACTCTTTCCAACTCCTTTTACTAAAGAGCGCCAAGGGAGATAACTAGAATTTCATGTTTTTACATAATTTAAAATCACAATATCTATTCGTAATTAAAATAACCCATGGGTTTTTTAATTGTTTTTTACTCTTTGATACTAGATGTTCAATATTTTATAATTCACATTCAAGGAGAGTGCGGGCCTTCAAAAAATCACCTGCACGTACAGACACTTTTCAATGGATACTGTTGACTGTTTTAATATATATTGAATTCATTTTTTAATCAACTATGCATGAAATCCATTTATAACTGTGATCAAGTATTTAGTTTGATGTATCTTAATGTAAATATGATAGTTTTTGAAAAATCTATCACTATCATGAATCACTTATTTTCATTTCTGCCTGGTTCTTATAAATAGCTGTACTTAAAAATCGGGTTGTTCTTTTTTTATGGAGAGACTTTCATTGTCGGAAGTTAGGGTTCCTGAGTTCGTGGATTGAATTTTTGTGATATTCATGTACGGAAATTACATATTAAGGGGGAAGGTCCTGTCCCCAAGCACATGTGCTCCGATGATATGTAATCCAATTGTTCATGTAATCTATAATGCTGATTTTTCTCTAGAACTGATAAAGCCACAGAAAAAAATCTCTTTTCGTAACTTCAAAATATAAAGGAAATAATCAAACATAGATTTATAGATATCTTCGAGTAAATAAAAAGGTATTGGCAGTATAAAAGAGATGAAAACAACACCAAGTACGAGTATGCATTTGACTTTATTTTGCGACTCCCCCTTCGATGTGCTTTCCCATACACGACTCCCCCTACGTAACCGTTACTGTCTGAGAAGAAAATGTCTTAATTATGAATTTTTATAAAGTCTAGTCAAGTTTAAGTTGTTGCATTTAAAAGATAAACGATTTCTTTTGCTGTTTTAACAGTGAGAATCCCTACGCAAGCCGCAGATAGTCCAAATCATGCATGTTTTTACCATCCGATCAACGTAAATATGAAAACTGTCAAATAGTTTCGAAGTGTTTGAGAAAACTAGACGTATATGACAGCCAGACAAATGACCAAAATAAAGCTTAACTATTGCCATCTTCCGTGGGATATTTGTTTTTTGTAAATACATCTTATAAATACCGAAAACAGACGTGACCCACATCTCTTCTGACTCCGAAGCGGTGAAAATCTACTCCCCCATACGTTGAAAACGACTCCCCCATACTTTTTTGCGACTCCCCCGCGTTACCCGTTGTATAGGGTGTTAATGTGTACTGTATTTTATTACTGAGTTTGTAAAAAAACATAATAAAACATATCCTTTTCCACATCACATCCTGTATCAGCCCGAGACTCCAATATCAGCCAGAGGGCCGAAGGCTTTCTGTTTTGGTTTTCTGTTTTTGGCTTTATTTCATGAGTAAAATGTGTATCTTGTTGGCATAAAATAAAAAAAAAGAAGTATTTTCCAACTATGTCTGCAGATGCCCAGGAGTAGAGAATATTATATAAATATTACAAGTTGTTGAGTGTAACATTGAAATTTTCACCCATTGAAAACCACTGTCATGCAATATTTATTACAATGTATATTATATATACAGAATGCTTTTTACAAATACATAATTATGTCAGTGAACCTTGCGAGAATAAATTTTGCGCAATCAACATTTTTTTTTAGTAGTATCCGTCGTTAAGCAATGTTGACTGTTGCTATGCTGAAGGGCGTGGCTTATTTTTAGCGGGTAATAGTGTTTTTTAACAAATGTTTCTAGACGAATCAGATTCAACCACTTCACATGAAAGTATAATATTCTTTAAGAATTTATGCATTTTCCATTTTATGAACAATAGAACCCTGCTGCCCTAACATCTAAAACCCTGGCCTAGAGACTATGAATACTGTGAAATCACTAATTTTCGTTGAGGTTTTATTTTCGTGATTTTCAAGGTATGAAGAGACCCACGAATTAATGTCCACCACGAAATTCAATTTTTCACATATATTACTACAGAACATTTCTTCAACCAAGACATCAAATCCCCATGAAACAATATATTTTACTCAAACCGCGAAAGTTTGACCCCTCGAAAATATGTGATTTTACAGTATCAAACTTTGGCATGAACCAATATATTTTACTCAAACCACGAAAATGTTACCCCTCGAAAATATGAGATTTTACAGTATCAAACTTTGGGCGAATGTCTTTGTAAAGTAATCATCACATTATCATTACTTCTGGAATGTGGAGGATTTAAAATAGCTATAACCATTAGCCTAATTTATTTAAAGTTTATCATTAACTTTAAAGCATATCATTAACTTTACTTCAGTAAAGCAATGCATTTACATTTACACATGTACCACTATTCTTGGGTTTTCAAAACTAAAAATACAAATATTGTGCAATGATACATATGTATATATAATGAACAGTATTCAAGATCAAAAGTCCATAAAACAATACAAAAAGGAGCAGAGCAAACAGGACCTCCAAAACATCAGAGGTGGGATCAGGTGCCATGGAGGAGTGAGCATCCCCTGCTGACCAGTCACACCCGCCGTGTGCTCATTGTCATGATCGGGAAATATCAATTCAGTGAATTCAGTATATGAATAATGGACTAACAATTAGTATGAAAAACTTCAGTCATCATTTGACTCAATGATAAATTGTATTTGCTGACAAGATCATTGTATCGACCATAGAACTTCGAAATGATGACTTTAAACGAAACAGCTGAAATTCTTATTTCGTCAACTTGTTAAAATGTCAATAATTTACCTCATTCTAAAAATTGTTCATACGTAGAGCATGGTCTTGCGTATCGAATCATGTTTATAGAGCAACCGAAATATATAAACTCCGTATGCAGGTATTCATATCGAAAGTATAGTGCTGCATAAGTAAGGGAAGTTGAAAAGCAGAAAAGTAAAAGTCATCATGTTTATAGAGCTTGTTTGTTAGATTAACATGAACATCTTTTTCAAGTCAAATGTCCAAATTTGCATTAGATGTGTAAACTATAGACAAATCTATGGTATCTTTTTTGCATCTCAAGGTCACCAGGATATATCATATCGACATAGGAATGGAAATCAATTGTTAATTGACAATACGTCATACCAAGAAATGCATTCTTCAACTAGCTCTACCATAGAAATTCAATGAAAATCACACTGACTAGATAATGATTTTATTAATAAACATTATTTAAAATTGTCTTTGAAAGTACATTGTATATTTTGACATTTTCTTGCTTCCTTTACTGATCTTCCTCCATGTCTTCTTCGTCTTCTGATGACGTCACATCCGGGTCATCTGCCTCACTTAAACACTTTGGGCATTCACAAATGAAAAGGTAATTTTCTCTGTAAATATTAAATAAAAATTATCTATTAAATTAACCAAAAGAAAACAAACTATTGTCCTCGAAAAACCTTAATTAACATTTTCCATAACTATCCTTGTTTCTTTTCAAAGTTGTGACAATTATAAAAAAAATGGAGAGAGAGAGAGAGAGAGAGAGAGAGAGAGAGAGAGAGAGAGTTTTTGGTAAGTCTTGTGTTGTCCTTCACGGACTTTCCATATATTTCGATGTCGAGACGGTTTCACATGCAATTAAGGATCATATGAATTCTAAGGCATTTTTTCATGAAATATTTTACTACGGATTATCTGTTGGCATGATCAATACAGAGGACACAAGGCATGTGTGAGGTTAGAAAGGAATGCTTACTCCTCCAGGGCTCCTGTCTCTACCTCTGAGGTTTTCAGGTGTCCATGTTTCAGGCCCTGTTTACAGACTGTTCTGTTTGTAGATTTTGAGAAAAAAACTATATATTTATTGTGCACAAAAAAGTGCACTGTTTCTAGATTTATTTCTCCATGTTTTTAAACTGTCATCTCAAAATATCCTGACATATTCTTTTCACTGTTTCCACAACAAAACATTCTTAATAATTGTTGTTAATAGCTTTCCTGACCTTGAAATTGAGATTATCAAAAATATTGTCTATTTATACTGCCATTTTGGTTTGCAAGATAAGTTGGTCCAACACACTTCGTGCAGATGTCAACTACGACATTACTTAATAAAGGAGTAAGGAATTTTGTTTAATCTATCCTTTTTGCGATTGAGGTAAGAATTAATCCAGAACTAAGTGTAATTTTTTTGTGCGCAATGAATATACAGTTTTTACAATGGGTGGCTCTGTAGCTCTCCAGTCTATCAATATATTTTTTTCAGAGAGCTACAGTTCTGCAGCTATGTCTTCAATAAGATTTACTGAAAAGCTTAAAGGTAGTTGTAGTGACTTTTCAATTAACTACAAGAATAATACATGTATTCTAAAATATATTCCACATTTGCAGACAAGGCAGGGCATTAAAAACATTAATGCAGACATTGATTAAACTCGTGTTAATCAATTTGTTTCCACACCTCGTTGCATTTATGAAACTACATCTTTCAAAAAATCATGATAAATTTCTTAAACATGTCAAATATTAATTACAGGTTTAAACTTTTTTGTAAATGGATCAATTATACATGAGATAGGTTAATGCACGAATCCATATCTTAGTTTCTCCTGGCAGCAGTATCCTTGAGGATTTTAAGGTGCTAGAAAGTCACCGTTGAGTAAAAAAATAGGAAAAATCTATCTGGAATTCATGTTATCAGCTACTTTTAGTGTTTCAGTTCTTTTCACTTAATTTCCAAATCGAAAGTGAATTTCAATCTTAAATATTTTGTAAATTATTCAGAAATTTATCACTTTTAGAACAATCATCTCAAAAACGTTAGTTTACATTGATATGTGTTTAAGACCATAATTAACACTTAGCAACCAAAGGACACTAGCGTGTATTCAAAGAAAACAAGAAAGGCCACATCACATGGGCCAAGAAAGGCCCAGAAAAAAGGCCACATCACTCACCTGTTAAGCTTTGACCATGCTCTTCTTAACCAGATTTCCCCCATGTAATACCTATTGTGACCCAACCCAACCCCCGGGGGTCATGGTTTGAACAATTTAAAATCTACACTACCCCAGAATGCTTCCATATAACTTTCAGATTTTCTGGCCAAGTAGTTCTTGAGAAGAAGATTTTTAAAGTTTTTCCCTATATATTTCTATGTAAAACTTTGATTCCCTATTGTGGTCCCACCCAACCCCCAGGGGTCATGATTTGAACAATTTAAAATCTACGCTACCCCAAAATGCTTCCACCTAAGTTTCAGCTTGTTTGGCCCAGTGATTCTGGAGAAGAAGATTTTTAAAGTTTTTTTCCCTATATATTTCAAAATAAAACTGACACTTAAGTAATTAAGGGATTCCATTGAAAAATGCCCTGTATTCTCATTTGTGTAGCTATTTGTATTTTGTGAAGTGGTTCTTGTCTGAGAGATTGTTAGAATCTACACTACCCCAGGATGCTTCCACCTAAGTTTCAGCTTTTCTGGCCCAGCGGTTCTTGAGAAGAAGATTTTTCCTATATATTTCTATGTAAAACTTTGATTCCCTATCGTGGCCCCGCCCTACCCCCAGGGGTCATAATTTGAGCAATTTAGAATTTACACTATCTCAGGATGCTTCCACATAAGTTTCAGCTTTTCTGGGCCATTGGTTCTTGAGAAGAAGCTTTTTCCAGATTTTTCCTATATATTTCTATGTAAAACTTTGATTCCCTATTGTTGCCCCGCCCTACCAGCGGGGGTCATGATTTGAACAAATTAGAATCTACACTACCCCAGGATGCTTCCACATAAGTTTCAGCTTTCCTGGCCCAGTGATTCTTGAGAAGATTTTTTAATAACCCCACCCTATTTTTGTCTTTTCTTAATTATCTCCCCTTATGAGAGGACCTGGCCTTTCATTTCAACAATTTAATTTTTTCTGCATCCAAGGATGCTTTGTATTAAGTTTGGTTAAAACTGGCCCAGTGGTTCTTGAGAAGATGTCGAATATGTGAAAAGTTTACAGACGGACACACAGACGGACAAACAACAGACAAAATGTGATCAGAAAAGCTCACTTGAGCCTTCGCCTCAGATGAGCTAAAAGATACCTGTTCTTGCTTCATAAATAGATATCAGTACACATAGAATATTTTTTAAAGATTCCAAATACATGGGCTTATGGCAATTTTAATGTTCGAATCATAGGCACTTGTCGTTTTTTACCTTCCTTTTACGTTAATATTATAGTTGGGGAAATTTTTATTTATGAAAAGAAAATTGCTAAAAAGAATACACCGCTAAATGTAATACATTTACAGTATTTAAGTTCAATACGACATAGTAAGTTTATAAAAAAAAATGTGTAGATTTTTGTGCATCTTTGAGTGACTTACTTAAGAATTTTCTGTCGACTGTGTCGGCTTCTTGATAAATCACACTCACTCAGATAACCAATACAGATCTCCTTAAAAATACAAAATAATAAAATAAACTGCTACTTACATAGATAGAGCAAACCCATTGATAGATTTTTAATAGATAAGACCCCTTTAACATAAATCTATTTGTCACTGGCCTGCCTCAATTCAAAATTGTATTTAAGCATACCAAATCACATAAAGGACAAAATTATCATATTTCCTTTTAAACACAAATAGGGATTTTAAAAATACAATAGCTGAATTCTTCCTAATTGTCATAAGATTTAAGTTTGCATCTATAATCAGAAAAACATCATGCTATGAAATAGATGTGTCAGTCTCAATGGCGTCTTTCTTTCAAGCCTATCAGGATGTGTCAATAAATAAAAATAAATTTTGTTTTAAAAAGTGTTAAAACATTCAATATACATAAATGTTTAATTTAAGAGAACAGAAAGATCTCCTTTCCACTCATGTAGAAGTTTCTAATAAAATTTTAATTTATTTAACAGGTCACTTCCTAAAAGAACAAAATGGTCATTCTTACAAACGGCTGGATTTTTATAGGTTGGTGGGCCCAAAGCCTGGTCTCAAATTTCTACATATATTATATAATACTGAGAAATGCAAAGTTCAGTTTCAAATGAACTTCTAATCTCTTCTTTAAAACATAAAAACACAAATACTCAATGTAGAAATACTATTTACTTATTCCTAAAATTCACTTCTGAGCACATTTTTAATCCAATTTCTACATCAATTTATTCCTTAATTCATCCATTCCTTTCCAATAGAAGTAAAGAACATATCTGTTAAAGATAAAATGCATTCTGTGAATAAATCATCCATTGCTTAAATATGGCATGCCAAATTCACAAATATGAGCAAATCATAGTTTCACAATTGATAAACTAGGTTTATCGGTTGTAAACTGTAAAACTATAGTTAACAACGTTAATCTATATTTTACATCTGTAAACTATAGTTAACGCGATAATCTATGTTTCACAACGGTAAACTATACTTAACACCGAAAACTATCATTTGCGATTGCAAAACATAGATTATCTGATAAATACAGTTTCATGATTTGTAAACTATAGTTTACAAACTGTTAACTATAGTTAACGATCTGATAAATATAGTTTCACAATTTGTGAAACTATGATTAACAACTCTTAACTATAGTTTACGATTGTAAACTATAGTTTACAAACGTGAATCTATGTTTATCAACAAAATCTATTGTTAACGCTTTATTACAGACAGATAAACTTAAATTAACAATCGTAAACTATAGTTAACAACCGTTAAATATAGTTTTACAGATGAAAACTATACTTAACGAATCGTTAACTATAGTTATAGTTATAACTGTTTGTAAACTATAGTTTACAGTCGATAAACCTAGTTTATCAATTGTGAAACTATGATTATCTCATTTTTGTGAATTTGGCATGCCATACTTAAACTTAAGTTCCAATAATCAGATTAAAGATAAAATCTATTAAAGATTGAATGCATTCTAAAAATTGTTATCTTGTTTGAAATTCTTACACAATTCCCACTCTGATCTGAGGCACATGAGGACTAACCTGGCCAGGGGTAATCCTTTCCTTGGCCACAACTGAAATGATGTTATAATGGTAAGGGAAGCCACCACTGACATGATGTTGTTATTGTAGGGGAGGCCACCACTGACATGATGTTGTTATTGTAAGGGAGGCCACCACTGACATGATGTTATTATTGTAAGGGAGGCCACCACTGACATGATGTTATTATTGTAGGGGAAGCCGCCACTGACTTGATGTTATTATTGTAGGGGAGGCCACCACTGACATGATGTTATTATTATAGGGGAGGGCCACCACTGATATGATGTTATTATTGTAGGGGAGGGCCACCACTGGTATGATGTTATTAATGTAGGGGAGGGTCACCACTGACATGATGTTATTATTGTAGGGGACGGCCACCACTGACATGATGCTATTATTGTACATGAGGCCACCACTGACATGATGTTATTATTGTAGGGGAGGCTACCACTGACATGATGTTATTATTGTAGGGGAGACACCTAAGGACTCACCTGACCTGAGGTAATCCTTTCCTTTGCCACTACTGACATGATGTTGTTATTGTAGGGGAAGGTGATCTCAGCGTTTGGCTGGCAGCTGTGGTTACCTAGAATGATGCAACGATTGTCAGAGTAATTCATATAAAGTACATAAAGTGAAGTCAAATTCTGTACTACTGGTGTAAATTGTGTAGGTTTACTTCTCAGGGTAATTCATATAAAGTACCAGCTTCTCTATTACTGCAGTAAATAGTAATGGGATACTCACAAGTACTCTGTAGAAGGTAAAGTCCTGAACCCTCACAATCCAAGAATGCTCCAGACACTGTAAAGTAGATTTCAGAGAGAAGCTTAAAATTATTCTGTGGCCAAAGTATTATTATAGAAAGTGCTCATAATTTCACAGAAACTACATTGAAGTTGCACTTGGATTTATAAATTTATGCTTTTATGTTCAAATTAGGAAATGACAAGATGTTTTTAATCATGATAGCATGTTGCAGCAGTAATTTGACATGTACACTAGAAGACAGGTGATGAAAGAAAATAAAGGCAAAGTATGAAAACATTTGTGTTCATTTTTTTTCCAAACCTGAGTCTCTTTTTTGAATCGAGTATCGAAATTATTTAAAAATTGAAATCAGATTTAAAGCAAATATAAAAACTTTTTTTGGGAAAATTGTCATAATAATGTATTAAAAGCTATTTTTTCTGAAAGAAAAAAATAAACATTCTTTATGTAATTAACAAATATATAAATAATTCACACTATATGTAAATACCTTTTTCTAATTCTTCATACAGCTTATCAATAAACTCATCCAGTTCTTCTTTCTTTTCCTCAGACATATCCAATTTTTCACAATTTTTTACCCATGAGCTAATTGAACTAATAAGTAAATAATAAAAACATAAGTAATAAAAAATTACAAAAGTAAAGTAAAATAAAGAGCAAGACTGAATTCATGTTTCAAGGATTTTTGTGTGGACCTATATAGTATAAATTAATTTTATATAGGGAATGTTTTGCTCCCATTTGGTACCTTTCACTCATGTAGTCAGTGGGAAAATACACCTCAGGGTTCAAGCTCTCTTTTAACATATATGTGTCCAGGCAAGTTTTAAAACTGGGTAAAATTATTTATGAAAGAGTAAAAATAATCCTGTATGCACATATTAAAATTGTTTTATCTCAAAAATGTACAGTTGCAGATACAAAACAAGTCCTTTTGTAAAGGTGTTGGAAACTGAAAATAAAATTCTGTATAAAATACTTGTATACCTTGATCCTATTCCCTGACCATTCCTGCCAATCAGTGCAAACAAGGACCGAAAACCCTCTGGTGTAAACCACTGTAATCAAAACATGTATTTGTCTTTTAACAAATTTTGAAATAAAATGACTCTTACATTAATAGAATGTGTTTATGTATCAAGATTCCTAATACTATTCAGAATATATACATGTATGGAAACAATTTATATACATACAGTGTATGTAATGCCTACTGCCCAATCTATTTATAAAAATGTGGGAGAAAATGAAATTGATGATATATATAGACTTACATGTTGAAGAGAATCATGAAATAGAATCTCTGTCATCTGTTGTCGCAGCATCTCAAGCGGTTCCTGAATATTGAATAAAAATATATATACGTACATTATGTAAACAATTTTAATAATGCATATAAATGATAAAAGATAGTATGTACATAAATACAACAAAAAAGGCTTACATGAAACACACAAATTTCAAGAAAATATAAACTATTCAACTGTGTTTTAGTTGGTACGTTTTTAACCCCTTGGGCTTCATGTTACATAAAACACACAAACTTAAAGAAAATATAAACTATTCAACTGTTTTTCCTCACTTGAAATTTGTCCCCCATCATTTTATGAACAAGTGCTTCTTCTTCATTCACAGTTGTTTTTACAAAGCGAGAAAACTTCTCCAAAATGTCTGATTTGTCTTCACTCTGCAAAAATGGCAATAATTAATTCAGAGGCATATCACACGGTAATTGACATATTTAACTTCATGATATGTAATATACATTTAACTGACTTATTTTACATAGTGTGTAAAAACATTTAATAGACATATTTTGCAAATGTAAAAATCTTTAAAAAACATTTTGACATTCTATAATCCTATAATCTTACCTGTTTAACCTTGGCTATCCTCTTTGCTATAATCTTACCTGTTTAACCTTGGCTATCTTCTTTGCTATAATCTTACCTGTTTAACCTTGGCTATCCTCTTTGCTATAATCTTACCTGTTTGACTTTGGCTATCATCTTTGCTATAATCTTACCTGTTTGACTTTGGCTATCCTCTTTGCTATAATCTTACCTGTTTGACTTTGGCTATCCTCTTTGCTATAATCTTACCTGTTTGACTTTGGCTATCCTCTTTGCTATAATCTTACCTGTTTGACTTTGGCTATCCTCTTTGCTATAATCTTACCTGTTTGACTTTGGCTATCACCTTTGCTATAATCTTACCTGTTTGACCTTGGCTATCCTCTTTGTTATAATCTTACCTGTTTAACCTTGGCTATCCTCTTTGTTATAATCTTACCTGTTTAACCTTTGCTATCATCTTTGCTATAAGCATTATACTACAGGTCTCTGGTGGGAAGTGAATGTTTCTAAAAAAAACAAATTTACATTTTAAAACAAATACTTCTCTTTTCTTTAGAATGTAGGAATTTTGGCTGGACTGAGGACATCGGCCTGGATAGCTCAGTGGTAGAACACCTGACTAGTGATGCAGGAGTCCCGGGTTCGATTCCCAGTCCAGCCTTATGTTTTCATTCTATACATTTATGTATTAAAGAATTTTCAATGCATGTTTACTCATTCCCCCTTTCCATATTACAAGTCTATACCATGGTCTGACCATCATTAATTAAAAGACATAATGTTCTTGGCTGCATTATTCTTTTTCAATATGAAACATGTACCCATGCATGTATTGACATGTATCAAACCACAGTTTATAAACATCTGTAATTTAAACACACAACATTTTGATGACAAACTTAGCATCTAGTTTAATTTTTTATTTCAGTGGATGGTTTAAGTATGGGGTGCTCTTTTCTAATCAATATAAAATCACTGATGTACAAACACTTGTATACTTTACCTTCACATTTAGAGGGTGGTTCTCATCATCCCTGGATGATCCCATACACAGATGTACAAACACTTGTATACTTTACCTCCACATGTCCTGTAGTTTATTTAGAGGGTGGTTCTTGTCATCCCTTGATGGCTCCATACACAGATGTACAAACACTTGTATACTTTACCTCCACATGTCCTGTAGTTTATTTAGAGGTTGTCCCTGGATGACCCCATACACAGATGTACAAACACTTGTATACTTTACCTCCACATGTCCTGTAGTTTATTTAGAGGGGGGTTCTCGTCGTCCCTGGATGACCCCATACACAGATGTACAAACACTTGTATACTTTACCTCCACATGTCCTGTAGTTTATTTAGAGGGTGGTTCTCGTCATCCCTGGATGATCCCATACACAGGGTCTGGTGGTACTCCTGCCACGCTCTCTTCTGACAATCAGGACAGCAGTAGGTCACCTTCAAATAAACATCAAATGTTGTATTACAGTGTCCTTATATTGTCATTCCCATCACTACGTACTGATACCATACAGCTTTAATCTTTATACATTTCTATCATTTATCTTTTGGATACAAAATCACAAATTCATGTGTATGCTTAGAAGATAGTGACAAGTTAAATTTTGTTTTTGGGAAGGGGAATTAAAAACCTACAGTTTCAGGATTGTATCTTTGAACCATTAAATCTATTCCTCATTTACTATTTTTTTTTTCAAACCACAAAAATTCAACACATCAAAACATGTAATTTTATATTACTATGCTAAAAAAATAAATGTTTACTGATGCTGTATACAGGTATATAAGGAAATATTTGTCTCAATGATATTTTTGCCCTTTCACCCTTGTTGCAAGCAGAAAAAATTAAACAAGAGGAATTCAAGGAAGATAACAATATTTCTTAACCACAATTTGTCATTGCCAAATTTAAAAAGGGCAATATTGTTTGCAAATGTAAAAGGGTGAAAAATAACAAAGGATGAAATAACCCTATATAATGAACTCAGTACACTACCTGACACTGCGGACAAGCAGAATACTGTGAAGGGTCTGTTTCATCACATTCAGGGTAGGGTAATGTCAGTGCTTCGTTTTCTGTCAATCGTTGACTCTGCTTTTCTGCAGTCTCCAGTGAGCGTAGACAGTATTCACATGCCTTGTATTTGTAAAACTCATTCCAGAGAAACTGAGAACTGATAAGAGGTCTCTCTTCAAATAAAACATCTCCTTCTTCAAAATTCTGTTTTGCTATCAAACTTTTGCCCTAGAGAGTGAAAAAAAGCAATTTTCCATCTTTAATAATTTTCTAAAAATGATTAATGAACTTTCAAGTTATTTAATTCCCAGATGAACAGTAAAACAAGAGTAATACAAGCAGTTATAGTAACTAAACTGTCACTCAGTATCTCAAAAATAAGGATATAACTGCTTTAAGGTATGTGGGACATACTTAATTAGAAACATACAAAATATGTAAAAAACAATTAAACAACAAGTATTTTTTCAGCTTAACATCTTAAGGTCCTTCTTCCCCTTAAGCAAAGGGCTATGATTGGAAATGAGGTTTCATGCTCACTTTCACCATGGTCAAAAATATAAAGCTGTAGTATAGAATTTGCAAGGAATGTTATCCACTGACAGTTCCAACACACAGGTACTTGGTTTTATAAGGGTATAAGGGTGCATTGTGTGTATTACGTGTTTCCCAAGGTGTGTTTGAATAATTTCATTGAAATACAAATAAAATATTGCTGAAATCAGCAGAATTCAAAAATATCATATTGCTGTGTAATATGTGATTATGATGATATTATTGAAAAAGTCAAAAAAAAAATTATACAAGAATTGTGGTTTCAATCAGGTTTTGTACATATATTATCTGCGACTATGACGTAATTAAACAGAATCATGTGAACATGTGTTCTTAGTCCCCTTAATTAAGTCTATGTTAAAATTCTAGATCTAACATTAGACTAGCTGCAGATACTGTAGCGTTATGGTTTTATATATTAGTCTTTGACCATAACGCTACAGATCCCGTAATGCAAAAAAGGTGCAATTTATGGCGCAATATTTTTTGCACACTCCTGGTGAGAATTTCTCCACTTTCTAGCATTGGTCAATCAACTACCTTTCACTCCCTAATTCTAGACACATTCTGTAGCCAATATGTATATTTTATCTACCTCCCAACCATTTATAGTTGTCTCTACAGGCAATAAACTCGCTTGAAGTGAATTTTCAGCAATCTAACATATAATCATAAGCGAGTTTATCACTTGTAGAGGCGACGATAAAGGGTAAGTAGATGGATAAAATATACAGATTAGTGAAATAGCGTGCCTAGAATCAGGGAGTGAAAGGTAGTTAATTAACCAATGTTAGAAAGTGGAGAAATTCTCCCCAAAAGTGTGCAAAAAATATTGCGCCATAAATTGCACCTTTTTTGCATTACGGGATCTGTAGCGTTATGGTCAAAGACTAATAGGGAGTGAAGGAACGCTCGTAACGACAACGCCTGAGCGAAGAATAAATTCGGACTGCTGCACATTCATTCCATAGAATTTTTTTCCCGCAATAATTTTGACCCACAATGCATCGCTTCGCACACTAACGTTAAAGCAACGTTCTCGCTAGAATACGACAAAAGTTAAACGAATAATAAACTTGCCTTGGGTTTAATGAAATTATCTGTTTGTTGCAGAAAATAGTATATACTAGCTGATTGAAATCAGCCCTGTTCAGGGTTCGGTTTGGTAAAGCAACGAACGACGTCATGTGACGTGACGTCAGAGTCTTAAACGCATCGAATAAAACCATAACGATACAGATCTGCAGCTAATGGGTGCGTTCAGAGTATTTCCAATGGTACCACCACCTCTTTGCCAATGGTAACAATTTGTACCGTTGGTACCATTGGACCCATATGTACTCTGAACGAGTTTTGGGTAGAGTTGGTAGGAAACTCACCAATGTTAACAATGGCACCATTGGTGTACCATTTGTGACATTGGTATATACCATTGTTAACAATGACAGATTTCTTAGAAGAAAATGTCAAACCAAGATTATTATTCTTGCTTCGTGCATCATTTTGCAGCAAGAGAATGCTTTCAGAAATAATTTTTGGTACAGGTAAGAACTTCTCCACATCAGAATTTTTCTCCAACTTGTCTTCCGGATTGTCAAATGTAAAATAATTAAATTAATAAAATTTTGATTTTACATTAAATACACTTTAAAGTTACTAAAATAAATATTCTGAAACTTTCATTCAAGAAAAACCACATTTAAAAAAGACGTTTCACACATATATACACAGAGTTTATGTAAATAGGTGATTAATAGGTGTAGTAAAAACATTACATGATTTGTTCCTTTTTCAACTTTTTCCCCGATGAAAGACTTTCATAAAATAATCTTGTTAATATTAATTCTATAGATAGAAAACGATTTATAGAGTAAAAATGAACTCAATTATACATAAAATTTATTAGAATTTACCAAATACCGCCCGGTAAACCCAGAGATCTCTCGGGTTCTCTGTTTAGCAGGACAGACTTGATCAGTACCCGCCATTTTGTTTGACGTCATTAAAAAAGTTACCATCGCTAACAGAGCTCTAGTTCGTCTGCAGAAAAATCTACCTATGGTAAATTTTTTCGGCAAACTTTGGTACCATTGGCTTACCAAAGGTAAAAAATTCTACCATTGGTAACTTTTGTCAGCCAACGGTAGTACTCTGAACGCACCCACTGTTAGACATTTTTACTGTTGCAGCTGTAGATGTAATTTTTCGAATTTCCTCGAAAAAAGGATTTCATTTTCAATTGTATTTTATTTGTTTAAAATAACACGTTTGAGTTAATCAAACTAAAAGATGTTCAACAGGAGGATCATGTTTATTGAAATAGCAATATAAGAATCGACGCTGTTACCTTTTTAGTGTTCTCGAAACTAATCTCAACGTTGAGTTCGTGTCCACTGGAAGTCGCCATGTTGTTTACTTTTCTTGACTTCAACGTTAAAGAGTTCCAATGCACCAAAAGTGAAAGTAGGTTTCGTCAGTGTTTACAATTTTTGTCACACGTGGATATATTTTTCCCAGGAACGATGGGCAATGAAGAAACTTTAAATGTCATCTTTACCATAGGATATTCATTTTTTGTGCTTTGTTTTGTTGCACCTCCAACTGAATTTGTTTCAGCAGGTTTGACAATACAGAATGTTTTATCCAACTACCTTGGCAGTGAACAGTTACATTTTATTGAATATCACATGAAGAGGACAGCAATCACATTACTTATTCATTCACTACTGCCGTTAGGTAATTACAATTGGATTTTTACTAGTTTTTTTTTGTTTTTTTTTTTTGAAAGCCTTAGTTAATAGATATTTGCTAAGGGGCTCGCCATTAATTTATTTGTTTTCCTAATCTTTGACCACTTGTACACTATAAATTACATCCTTGCATATTTATGTAGTGTAGATGTGATCAAGAAAAGAATTAAGACAATTACAGTGTGGTGGGCCCTGTGTTTAGTTAATACATTGTAGTTGGTTGTCAGTTGATACTGTAAATCCCACAATACAGTACATTTGTTAATTAGAGAAGTTAGCGGAGAATTAAGCCTTGTCTATCCATTTATCTTAAGTTATTTAGTACTGAGAGTTGAGAGAAGAATGCAGCATTGGTTTACATGTATATGTAACACAAACTGGTTAACATGTTAATGTAAAACAATATACATGTATTTTATCAATCATGCCATAACTACTAAGGGCATCTGATGATGAAAATTACTTTTGATTCTCTATAGACCTATTGAAATACAGAATCTTCTGAAATCTAATGATCTTTTTTTTTATTTCAGGGTACTACATAGGACTGGGGTTGTTCTCACCACACCTTGGTTTGTTTACTCCTTGGAAGCTAGGATTCCTTTGGCAGAGCTATCTAGTCTCCTGTATTCTAATTATTTTGACAACTTCCTTACTCTTCTATCTTTGGACAAGAAATAAATACAACAGCCATCCCATAGCAAAAGAACTGGCATTGCTTGGGAATGGAACCTCCTGGAGGGCTGTTGCTTCTTCCATTAACATAGAATTTAGGAGGGTAGATAAATTTACAACAGGTGCCCCAGGGCGTAGAGTGATAGTGACGGACTCATGGGTGATGAAAACATCCACCTACTATGTGTACATTGCCCATCAGAATGATATACACCTATCCCTATCCAAATCAGAGGAGCATGATATCCATTATGAAAGTATGACATCTGTTCAGTTCCTCAAGTTTAATGTTATAAGCATCAACCCAAAACTCAAGCCGTTTACTATCAGGTGAGTTGGTTTGCAAAAACAGATTGATGTACATGATGTAAGTACATGTATTTAAATATGAAAGAGAAATATGTTCAATTGTAGCAGGTCTGTTGTTCATAAAGGCTGTTCTTCATTTTGTTTTGCTAGAGTTGACCTTCTAACTAAAACCTCAGTCTTTATTAATAATACTTTGAACACATTAATTAATTGAATTAAAGATAAAATGAAAATTTATTAAAAGAAAAACTATGATATCAACACACACAAAATCTGTAACTGATGTAACATCCCCCCTCCACAAACACTACCCAAAATAGCATAAAAATAAGTATAAGGGGAACAATATTGAGAAAATCACAGACATCAGACTCATGAAATACACTTGAGGTGCTACTGGGGAACAAACCCAGTTCCTGACTACCACACTTTTCCCTCCTTTAGGTCTTTACTCCTGTTTACACCATACTTTTTCCTGGCAGATCTTTCACATTTCACCTTTTAGAGTACAACAGTCAGTACCCCCTTGCTTGTCATAAAAGGCGACTAAATGGGGCATCCTTCGGATGAGACCGTATAAACCGAGGCCCCGTGTCACAGCAGGTGTGGCACGATAAAGATCCCTCCCTGCTGAAAGGCCGTAAGTGCCTAGCATAGGCCTAAATTTGCAGCCCTTCACCGGCAATGGTGACGTCTCCATATCAGAGAAATATTCTGGAGAGGGACGTTAAACAGTCTACAATCAATCAATCAATCAGTACCAAGTGTAAGTGGTAGTAAAGAAAAGGGATGGAAAAGGCCAGGATCTCGGCCCTTAACCCTCACCCACCCTCACTAGCAATAAGCTTGTTGTTCCAATTGATCTATGTGGTCACCAGAAACCAAACTTTCCTGACTGTCACATCTGAAATACATGCATTCTAAAAAAATAATTTCCATATTTTCCATACATTGGTATCAGAAGCAAAATGAAAGGGTGGAGGGGGGGGAAGGCTAATTCAAAGAGAAAAAAATTCTAACCTGAAAAAAACTTGACAAGCAAAATAAAAAAACATGACCAGTGTCCAAACCTGAATTGAAAGTCTAATTTCCTTTTTTCAGTACCATTTTTTCCCAAAAATTACAGTACCATTTACCCTTCTCTGACTGCACTGCATTATACCATTTGCCCAAAGTTGGGGGGGGGGCTAAACTTACAGCCCAATCTTCAATGTCTGTAACCTCCCCCACCCCCTTGGGTGCCTATGCCTATAAAGTGCCTTATTTTAAAGATTTTATGATGTTTTCCTTTGATTTATTGATTCATACTTTTTCAGGTTGAATGCCTTAGAGTATAGAGATTTAAAAGACAAGTTGACAACTCCTATTGTCAATGCCAGGAACATAGTGATAAAGCAATCCCTAAGTGACCAATTCCTGGAGGCGTTTAGGCACCAAGTCAGTCTGAACCAAGTCTTTAACATGCCAGAAGGAATGGTAAGTCAGTCTGAACCAAGTCTTTAACTTTCCAGAAGGAATGGCAAGGCAGCAAGTCAGTTTAAACCAAGTCTTTAACTTTCCAGAAGGAATGGTAAGGCAGCAAGTCAGTCTGAACCAAGTCTTCAACATGCCAGAAAGAATGGTAAGGCACCAAGTCTTTAACATGCCAGAAGGAATGGTAAGGCAGGAAGTCAGTCTCAACCAAGTCTTTAACATGCGAGAAGGAATGGTAAGGCACCAAGTCTTTAACATGCCAGAAGGAATGGTAAAGCACTAAGTCAGCCTAATCCAAGTCTTTAAAATGCCAGAAAGTATGGTAAGGCACCAAGTCTTTAACATGCCAGAAGGAATGGTAAGGCAGCAAGTCAGTCTCAACCAAGTCTTTAACATGCCAGAAGGAATGGTAAGGCACCAAGTCTTTAACATGCCAGAGGGAATGGTAAGGCAGGAAGTCAGTCTCAAAAAAGTCTTTAACATGCCAGAAAGAATGGTAAGGCACCAAGTCTTTAACATGCCAGAAGGAATGGTAAGGCAGGAAGTCAGTCTCAACCAAGTCTTTAACATGCCAGAAGGAATGGTAAGGCACCAAGTCTTTAACATGCCAGAGGGAATGGTAAGGCAGGAAGTCAGTCTCAAAAAATTCTTTAACATGCCAGAAAGAATGGTAAGGCACCAAGTCTTTAACATGCCAGAAGGAATGGTAAGGCAGGAAGTCAGTCTCAACCAAGTCTTTAACATGCCAGAAGGAATGGTAAGGCACCAAGTCTTTAACATGCCAGAAGGAATGGTAAGGCAGCAAGTCAGTCTCAAAAAAGTCTTTAACATGCCAGAAAGAATGGTAAGGCACCAAGTCTTTAACATGCCAGAAGGAATGGTAAGGCAGCAAGTCTTTAACATGCCAGAAAGAATGGTAAGGCACCAAGTCTTTAACATGCCAGAAAGAATGGTAAGGCACCAAGTCTTTAACATGCCAGAAAGAATGGTACGGCACCAACTCAGTCTCAACCAAGTCTTTAACATGCCAGAAGGAATGGTAAGGCACCAAGTCTTTAACATGCCAGAAGGAATGGTAAGGCAGCAAGTCTTTAACATGCCAGAAAGAATGGTAAGGCACCAAGTCTTTAACATGCCAGAAGGAATGGTAAGACACCAAGTCTTTAACATGCCAGAAGGAATGGTAAGGCAGCAGTGAAATCATACCAACAATTGTTTTATGTAACATCAGGAATGAGTCAATGTGCTCCATCCATCCACTGTCAGTAAGACTTATTTCTGAGAATAAATTGACTTTTGATTATTTCATTAAGGAGTGTCTTTTTTGTTGTGTATGAGATGAATCTTATGATGTAAGCTGATGTGGAAAAACTGGAAATCACTTCATACATGGCTAAAAGTAGTTTAGAGAAAAGAACAAGAATCAGATTTATCTATTATTCTTTTTTTGATATTCCAGGAGGCAGATACTTGTATTGGGTGTATGCAGAAGGAGTCCGACATTAAGCTAGTGAAGTTGTGTGACAGTGCCGGCCCAGGACAGTGTGTACAGTGTTACTGCCGCCCCATGTGGTGCTTAGAATGCATGGGAAAGTGGTACGCCAGTCGTCAGGACCAACAAAGACCAGAAATCTGGATGTCAGGGACCTCCCCATGTCCAACATGTCGCGCTGTGTTCTGTGTTCTAGATGTTTGTCAGATAGTAAAATGATGATTGGTTTAATTATAAGATAATTTACATTATTGGTAGCGGATTTATTACTAAGTTTTTAATCAGGATGGAATGTCTCATGTACTTTTGAAGATAATCAATTTACAAAAAACAGCATCTTATTTGTAAACTAGTGCTAATTGTAACGGGGACCGTTACAGATGTTCCCCAAACGCTCCCTAGATCCCTTTTTGTGCCTTATTTTGTAAGACTTTTTTTTTTATTTGCTCAGTTTCGACAGATTCCATTTAAGAATATAAAAACTACAATGATATTAACTATATATCATTTAACGTTTCACATGCACGCGCACGCATATGCAAGATAATCATGGCATTTTGGCTAAAGAATTTCTGAGAATCAAAGGAAATAATACAGATATAAATGTTACTATTTTTCAAGTATTTTAGTCATTTTGCACATTGCACATGCGCATGTGCTTGCATGTCCATGCTTTCAATTTTGATAGTAGCATAATGTAGGTATCTAGTATTATACCTATTCATATTCTAAATTTTATCCTGATTTATTGAGAATTAAGAAAGTTATAGGCAT